CTGACCATCAACACATTGACATACTTGATGACCCAACCCATGCAACCATTGACTTTTGACCAACAAGTCATTGAAAGGCTTGATGATATGTAGTACCATGGATCTTCTGTCAGACGTGGAGAGCGGGTGTTGAGCAAACCGGTCGCCACATCCTACGTACGACCCATGCATCTTTTCTTACTACATATCGGGGGATCCCTGCATTGGCCGAGAAAGTACATCCAGATTTTCCGGCGTGGTTCCCCCCCTTGTCAGTGATGCAGGACGGAGGGCCTGACAAGGACAGCTGTCTAGACCTTCGGTGAGACGAAAAACCGAGGTCCCGTGTATACATTGGGATGCACGTAAAAGATCCCTTGGCAGTTGAAATTCGACATAGGAGTAGGCGATAGTGCCGCTGCCCGGGCAAAATATCCCTCATAGTACACTGTATGGCGTATGCCCGTCTTCATTATCCCAGCATAGGAGCAGAACAGTAGGACGTTAAAGCCCATTTCATTTCATTTCTTACTACATATCTTAGTAGCCTTGTGATCGTCTAGAATTTGTCCCTAGCTGTCTTTGCTTCCCCTTCACGTTGTGTATTTACTTCTTACTGTTTTCTTAAGACGTTTGTCTTCTCAGTAGTTTTAACAATGCAACAGTTCCTTTTTACATTTTATATATCAAGCTGGATACATGGATACAAGCATAGTATAGATTACAATACTAAAGTCATTCTCAAACCGTAGCCAGCCAGACTCGATATGAGCGAGTCTGCTGATAAAAATTACATCTATCCCCTTCTGGAATCAAGCTGCTGTCTAGGAACTCGGGTGGTAAACTCTCCGGAACCCAATGAAAGTCTGCCTTAAAAGTTTACTATGATTTCTTTTATAGGACTCATGGATATCATGCACAGAAATGCCGGTTCATAGCCTAGAACCTGTGAAATTTCTGATATGATTGGTTAAATTAAGCCAAATGACGAATTTAGTATATTTCCTGTAACAGCACACCTCGTTACGCAGGCAGCCAAACACAAATGAACAGAGGTGTGATGCTCTGCGCAATCTTCTGGGATTAAGTCGCAAGCTTTTTACTAAATGTGTACCGGAATAATCAACAAATTCAACATACAAGTTTTAGGGTTCAATATGAATTCTCTTTATATCATCATTAAGTTGACAGACAATTCTAAGTTGATTATATGATGAATATCAAGTTGAATATACACACACATACACATATGTGAAAACTGAAATAACAAAAGTTAACAGAATTACTAAACGGTACTAATTGATATACGATAATAACTATAGCACAACGTACAAACTACGTAATATTGTTAGCTAGGAAACGGCGTTTGACAGTGCCTGCATGACAGCTAATACAATACACAAGATTTTAAACCCAAAACGCAATTATACATATAAAATAAGAATACTGACATATACTTAGTTATGTGATGGACATATTAACTGATAATTACAACCAAAAATATATGTTTATAACACAATACCTTTTTGACTTCACCCCTTTCCGCAACGCACAAATTTGGCTGCCATGCTTGATCCCAGACGAAAGACCACGATTTATAGGAGTAACTAATGAAGTACACATACAAATTCGAACCAAATATTTATAATCATAATTTGATTAACTGAATAATTATGTACGTATTTAATATTTACTCTAATATATAGAATACACTAATAAACATATCTATACTTCGGATATAAAATATAATTAGGAAACTATAGAATGTAAACAATTGATGCTCCCAATAGCTATCCCTCTAGGAAGTCATACGGTCTATACTTGACTATGCATTCATTCAATCGCAACACTACGGCAAGACGACAATTGTTACATGGCTCCTCAAAATTAGTATGCTAATTTTCAACAAAAAACATAACAACCTAACTATTAGATATTCAATATTTCAACGAACTTAATAAAGAGAGTTCTAATTTTAATAAGACAGTTCAGTTGGCTCCTTGGCGGGGATTTCCCTGGTCTTCAAGTCCAAGAAGTAAAACTAATTTCTGTACTGGACGTTCTAAATATACAGGCGGAATTACACATTTTCCATCAGAATTTATATATTTATTACCAATGTAAAGCTTTACTTTACGCACATGATTGTCCGCATCGGGATATGTTTTAACAACACGACACACCGACCATTGGTTTCGCGGAAGACTATCATCTATCAGAAGAACAATATCACCGTTACAAATTTCACGTTTAGAATCATTCCATTTAGAGCGCACTTGTTGATTTTGTAGAAATTCGCGTTTCCCCCGTGTCCAAAACTCATTGGCCATATACTGCACACGACGCCATCGCTTTTTAGAATAAACTCTCCTTTTGAAATTCTCCAGGAGGTGGTAAAATAATCTTAGTCTTCATAGTCAACAAATGATTAGGTGTCAAAGGTGCTAAAGATGTGACATCGTTAAGAGTATCTACAGTCAAAGGACGACTGTTCACAATTGCTGCAGCTTCATACATAAAGTACGAAGAGATTCATCATCTAACTGTGTTCCAGACTGCATCATAAGCGTAGAGAGAACAGCTCGCACTGACCTTATTTGGCGTTCCCAAAATCCGCCCATATGACTCGCAGCAGGGGTGTTCATTTTGAAAACAAAGTCGCAACCATTTTCTAAAAAATATTGTCTAACATGATCATGATTGATCTTATGAATAAGCTCAGATAGTTCTCTTTTTGCTCCAACAAAATTGGTGCCGTTATCCGAACGTAACTGACGTACAGGACCGCGAATAGCAATAAATCGATGCAAACTGTTAATAAATGAGTCTGTTGACAAACTATTCGCAATTTCTATGTGAACGGCTCGACTAGTCATACATGTATATAATACACCATAACGCTTTCGTTCACTTCTTCCTTCCTTAATAGTCCATGGTCCAAAACAATCAACAGCGCAAGGCGCAGGCTCTAATCGATCTTCAGGAAGTTCTGACATTTTCTGTTCTTGTACTCTTCCTCGCAATTTACGACAGATGACGCAATGATAGATGTAACTTGAAACAACTGAACTACATCCTAATATCCAAAATCCACTGGAGCGTATCTCATTAGTTGTGAGACCTTTACCTTGATGCTTTACAGTTTCATTGAAATGACGAACGATCAACGTAGTCAAATGATGTTTCTTAGGCAGTATTATTGGATTCTTTTCTGCAGGGTCCAAATTAGACAATTTAAGGCGTCCACCAACTCGAATTATACCATTATGATCAAGATATGGATCTAACTTATATAACGATGATGATTTCTTTAGTTTTCTCTTCACAGCATTATCATCAGTCGCTTGCTGTAATTTCTTCAAAATTTGTATTTCTTCGCTGAAAACTTGTGATTGAAGAAGTTTAATGATTATTGTTTCAGCATGTTGTAATTCATCCACGGTTAAAGGTGTGTAAACAGATTTCAGACTCGCGTGATTAACTTGTATCTTCTTTCTTAATCGCAGACACAGGGCAACAGCTCTTTTAACTCGAAACCATGTTGAAATATGCTTAAAACGTGGTAAGTCGAATTCTACAGTAGGTTTTGTTAACTGTGTTGCAAATACTTGAACTTTTCTTACTTCTGGGTCATCCTTGGAAATTAGGGATTCTTCTTTGAAATCGCACGTTACGGGAAGTTCAAGATTCCACAAAAAATCAGGTCCGGTAAACCATTTCGACTGATTAACCAGTTCGCCAACTTCTAATCCACAAGAAGCTGCATCCGCAGGATTATCAGAACTACGTACAAAATTCCACTGAGCAGGTGACGACGCTTCTCGAATTTGTTGGACTCGATTAGCAACAAAGGTTTGAAAACGTCTGGCATCATTACTTATGTATCCTAACACAACCTTACTATCGGTCCAATAAATTTCACTAATGTCATCATAGTCGAGTTCACTCTTCAAATGCACACCGACTCTAACTGAAACAAGGGCAGTTGCAAGTTCTAAACGAGGTATAGTTATAGGCTTAAGTGGTGTTACTCGTGATTTCCCAGCAACAAGTGAGCAATATACGTTTTGTTGATCATCAACTAATCGCAAGTATGTACACTGACCATATCCGTAGGTACTTGCATCAGAAAAGTAATGTAACTCTCGAGTTGTTACTTGACCAAAGGTTTGTGGTTTAAAACATCTCTGAATTTTCACTGACGAAAGATGCACAAGATTATCTCGCCAACGTTCCCAGCGTGACCACATATCTTCAGGAATACTAGTGTCCCAATCAATACGACTTCTACAAAGTTCTTGGAGTATCTGTTTTCCTAATAGTAAAAACGGCGCAATAAAACCTAATGGATCATATATAGAACATACTGTGGAAAGTATTCCACGTCTAGTCAATGGCTTGTCATTCAAAGTTATATGAAACTGAAAACAGTCCGACTCAATACACCATTGTATACCTAATACACGTTCCATCGGAAGTTCATCGTTGAATAAATCGAGATCTCGTATCTCCTTAGCTCGGTCTTCTGGATCTATTGAATTAACAACTGTTTTAGAATTTGATATAAACTTATGTAATCGGAGTCCGCACTTAGCTAACAAGTTTCTACTTCCATCGATTAGATTCATCGCTTCTCTTTCACTAGGAAGAGACTTTAAACCATCATCTACGTAGAAATCTCGTTTCAAAAAATCTGTTACTTCAGAACTGAATTCCTCTTCGTTATCGATAGCAGCCTGTTTCAAACCAAAGTTTGCGCAACCAGGTGATGACCCAGCACCAAATAAGTGTACTGTCATCCTAAAATCCGTAGGCTCTTCCTCATCATTGATCCACCAAAGAAATCTTAAATAATTGCGATGTTCTGTATTTACACGAAACTGATAGAACATCTGTTCTATGTCGCAAATCACAGCTATGGATTCTTTTCTAAATCTACAGAGTACACCAGTTAGCGTGTTAGTAAGATCTGGGCCTTTAAGAAGATGGTCGTTTATTGACTGTTTTTTAAATCTGGCATTGCAATCAAATACTACGCGTATTTTGTTAGGCTTCTTCGGGTGGTAAACCGCGTGGTGAGGGATATACCATACTCTACCGATATCTTGATGAAGTTCATCCGCAGGAACTTTTTCTGCATATCCTTTACTTATAATGTCTGACATAAACTGACGATAATCATGTCGATAATTTTCATCCTTCTTAAATTTATTACGCAATGGTAAAAGTCTTTGTAACGCATGAGCTCGGTTGTTAGGAAGTGTAGGTTCCCTATCTCTAAATGGCAAGGGCATCTCATAGTGATTATCAGATGTTAAATGTATACTTTCTGACATTTTATTCAAAAACTGTTTATCTTCACGTGAATATGTTTGATTACTGCAAGAGTGGAGATCACTAAAGTCAGTTTCTAAAATCTTGAGAATATTAAAAGGGCTTACGATTTCTTTAACTTGAGTTTTAAATGAAATAATAAATCTTGAGAATATTAAAAGGGCTTACGATTTCTTTAACTTAATTTGAGTTTTAAATGAAATAAACGCATGTCGTGTTCGAATGTTTTGATCGGAGACTTCTCTAATCGAATGAAGTGGTTGAACATTACTCTCAGTTTTATGACTACAAAACATAAACTCATCGCATTTAAGTTCATTATTCATGTCTGGATCAACATTACCAATAATTCCCCATCCAAGATCTGTCTTCTGACCAAAGGGTTCATTCAATACAGGGGGGATAACTTCACGAGGTAATAACGCACGGAAACAATTATAACCAATAAGCAAACCAATCTCACAAGAGTTCAGTGACATTAATTCATTCGCAATTGTTTCAAGGTGAGGCCACCTACAAGCTATTTCAGGTGTAGGGATATGAGAACGATTAGCAGGTATTTCGTTTCTTGTATACGCAGTTGACAAAGGAATTCTAATGTCACAGTTATGTCCTCTGATAATTAAACCAGTCATTTTACGACTATCTACTCGCATATCTTTCGCAAACATTGTTGATAATGATAACTGTATGTGGGGTCCATCGATACCTAACTGATCGCAAGTCGTATCTGAAATGAAACTAGAGTCTGACTGAGTATCTAAAAGGGCATATACAAGACATTCTTATTCTGGATTTGACATATGGGAAATCCACACAGGAAGAATCATCGAACAATGACTTGATTTATCGCTAATGTCCAACTTACAATTATGACTTGTAGTTGCAGGCCTTTCTGATGTATCAGTTCTTTCATGCACATCACCGTGTAAAGCTGTTGGATGATACATGTTACATATACATGTATCGCATGTTTTTCTTCTACTACAAAACTTGTAATAATTCCAGGATTTAAGCAACTAAAACATAATTTGTTGTTTCTTAGAAAGTCTTTTCTATCATCAATTCTTTTCTTCAGAAAAACAGAACATCTATCCAAAATGTGTGGATCTTTACAGAAGAAACAAACAGGTTGCCTTGGCACATTTTCATAAACTTTTGACCTTCAGGGTATATAGTTTTCTGACGAGTTCGTTGCAAATGAACCAACATTTACAGAAGAAACAAACAGGTTGCCTTGGCACATTTTCATAAACTTTTGACCTTCAGGGTATATAGTTTTCTGACGAGTTCGTTGCAAATGAACCAACATTTCCAGGAGGTCTCCTAAAATGTGACTTATCTGATGACCAGCTTGATTTATTATTGTACCTTAACGAATCTGGTTGATTAAACTCCTTTTCAGGTTGTTGTAAAGACGTTACAGGATCGCAAGCAATGTTTGATTCTTTATCAATAAATTTCGCAAATTCAACAAAGGGAGGGAATGTCATTCTCTCAATTCTCCAGTCATGGACAATATGTGCCCATCGTGATACTAAATAATCAGGAAGTTTCTTAAGTAATTTCTTATTTTCCCTATCATCGTTCAAAACACAAAAACTTCTAGTAGTCCGCATCGCCACTTCACACTGACGCAAAAAATTAGAAAATTTCCGCAAACCTATTCCACCTCTGTAATGAATTTTAGGCCAAGCATCAAGTTTATCGCGAAACGCATTGGCAATGACAAATGAATTACCAAATCTATCATCAAGAAGTTTCTTGGCTTCATCGTACGCATCTTCTGTAGACAACAGGAAATAATTCTCAACGCACTCTCTCGCAGATCCACTTAAATAACGCTTAAGATAATACATTCGTTCGGAAACAGGAATGTCTTTCTGGTCTATCAAAGTTTGAAACGTGCTTTTCCAACTTGGGTATTTTAACGGGTCTCCAGAGAATGTACCAGGCTCAGGAGGGGGTAAACGACTGAAACTTGCATGTTCCGCAAAAACTTGTGCTACTCTGACTAACGGAACATCTTCATTAGTTGACCTTTTAGGAATGTAATAATCTTGCATTGTTGACATAACAGGATTCGGTTGTTGACTTGAATAAACTGTTGAACAGGTTTCTTGAGAACGCAACGCATAAGGGTTAATTTGAGGTGTTGAAGGGGTATAAAGGGGATGAGACACAGAATGACTAAGTGCAACGCTACAGGATGACGCAAACGCAGAATTATTAACTCCTGTATCGTAAACTCTCGCAAACGCAAAGTTATTACCTTCAACACAAGTTACAGGTGAACAATTATTCTTGTCAGTATCTCTATCTAACGCAGGCGCACGGTTTGTAAGTTCAATATCGCTGGAGGTCGCACGCACAAAGTCATGTTGAGCTTCGCAGACAGGTGTTGACGCAAAAGTAGTAGGTCTGTTATCGCAATTTGTCGCAGTGGTAGCATTTGGAGTTACAGGTAGATTTGATGAGTTATTCGATTTGACCGGTTCACATAATCTTGAACGTATTCAGTTTTATCTGCAGACAATGCAGAATCAATGGCACGGCTTGTTCTATCATCCTCTTGTTCTATTTTCGCAATAGCATCTAACTTGGCTTCCGCAATTTCAATATCTCTTATTGTTTCTAAACGATTTAATTCTAATTGTTTCTGTGAAAGGACATCAATAAATTTCAACTTCGACTTTAATGCAGCAGCCTCTGCAGCAAGATCAATCTTCTTTGAAAAACGTGACGAACTTGACGCACAACTTTTTGTCCTATACGAAGATTGGATGTGTGATCTTCTACTTGAATGACTTGACTCCATCGCAAAAATCCTTTCTGTACCGCAATATACGCAAATTAGGAGAAACAGCAACAAGTTTACACACAGGGCTAGATTCAAAGAGTTCGCAAAATAAATAGGCTTATACATTGGCCTACGCACGCAAATGTTTTACAATAAAATGTTCGCACAAAAAATACCATCACTCGCAAAGATGTGAATAAAGTTTTCACTGTAACAGCACACCTCGTTACGCAGGCAGCCAAACACAAATGAACAGAGGTGTGATGCTCTGCGCAGTCTTCTGGGATTAAGTCGCAAGCTTTTTACTAAATGTGTACCAGAATAATCAACAAATTCAACATACAAGTTTTAGGGTTCAATATGAATTCTCTTTATATCATCATTAAGTTGACAGACAATTCTAAGTTGATTATATGATGAATATCAAGTTGAATATACACACACATACACATATGTGAAAACTGAAATAACAAAAGTTAACAGAATTACTAAACGGTACTAATTGATATACGATAATAACTATAGCACAACGTACAAACTACGTAATATTGTTAGCTAGGAAACGGCGTTTGACAGTGCCTGCATGACAGCTAATACAATACACAAGATTTTAAACCCAAAACGCAATTATACATATAAAATAAGAATACTGACATATACTTAGTTATGTGATGGACATATTAACTGATAATACAACCAAAAATATATGTTTATAACACAATACCTTTTTGACTTCACCCCTTTCCGCAACGCACAAATTTGGCTGCCATGCTTGATCCCAGACGAAAGACCACGATTTATAGGAGTAACTAATAAAGTACACATACAAATTCGAACCAAATATTTATAATCATAATTTGATTAACTGAATAATTATGTACGTATTTAATATTTACTCTAATATATAGAATACACTAATAAACATATCTATACTTCGGATATACCCACATAACAATATGATGTTAATTTTACATTACATTTACGTAAAAATGGTCAGTCAGTTTACCATCATTTTGCTCATCTTTTTAACGATAATTTTACGTCAGGAAATGACGTTAATCTAACGTAAACTTTACGTCATTTTTACGTTATATTTACGTCATTTTCTGACGTAAATCTAACGTAAACTTTACGTCATTTTCTGACGTAAATCTAACGTAAAATTTGCGTAAAGTTTACGTCATTTTCGTTAGATTTACGTCAGAAAATGACGTAAACTTTACGTTAGATTTACGTCAGAAAATGATGTAAATATAACATAAAAATGACGTAAACTTTACGCTAGATTAACGTCATTTCCTGACGTTAAATTGTCGTTAAAAGGATGAGCAAAATGATGGATATCTAACCGACCATTATAACGTAAATCTAACATTAAATTAACATCATTTACGGATGCAATTCTAATGTCAAATTTTGATGAGCATTAAAACCTTCAAAATTATTCATTATTCGCCGCAGTAAATGGGAAGTACATTCAACCAATAATCAAATTTTCCTGACCCGTGGGTGAGGCTAAAAGTTGAGTGGTCCAACGTGTGCGCTTTAGATCATAAGGTCTGTCATTGAGTCAAGTGGTTTCTTTCCACACCCAACTTGAACATGGGTTTTCTCTGGGTCCTCCTACTACTAAAGATTCCTGGTGCGGATGAATTATTCAACTTGAATTGAATCACTTAGTCCCAAAGGACAGTTTATGTCTATTGGATGTTTTACCCCACTGCTCTCTATCTACCCATAACCAGTCAGAATTCTAAATGTATTGCACAGAAAAGTTAAAAATCTAGCAGAATTATATGACAAAATATACTACAAGTATGTATACATATACTTTATTTAAAAGACAAAAATATAATGTTATAAAATACAAAATACACATTTAAATATTAACAGTTTTTATCCACAGCTGTTTGAGAAATGAAGACGGGCATATGCCACACAGTGTGCAGAGCTATGGCGTACTCTTATATAAAATTCCAACTGCCAAGGGATCTTTCACACACACACACTTGAGTATACACTGTACCTTGGTTTTTTTTGTCCCTTCCGTATGACTAGTCAGCCATCCATGTCAGGTCCTCTGTCCGGCATCACTGACAAGGGAAAATGTTCAAGAAAAAGGTCTACATTAGCGCTATGAAAGTGTTGATATGCATATAAGAAAGAAAAAACTGGGATATTGACCAAATTGGGCCAAAACCTATAGCCTCTATCTTATTTGCTCAAGGTATTGATGGAATAGGAGTTAACTTTGGAATGTGTGAAATGAAATGGGGTTTAATGTCCTATTCCGACAGGGCTAATGACATGGAAATATGCTATACAGTGTCCTATTATGGAATTTTATCCAGACAGCGGCGCTAAAGCCTACTCTTATATCGAATTCAAACTGCCAAGGGATCTTTCACGTGCGAACCAATGTGTGCACAGGACCTCGGTCATTCGTACCTTCCAAACGACTAGACAGCTGTCCCTCCTTGTCAGGCCCTCTGTCCTGCACCTCTGACAAGGGGAGGAAACCAAGTCTGGAAATCACGAAGAATTTTCTCGGCCGACACTGGAATGGAATGTTGTGGAATACTGAATATTGATAGGTTTCGTCCTCTCATGATTCCAGTGTGTAACACAAATTTGAAAAAGATCAATTAAGAATAAAGACAGCATCTATTGCATTTGAAAAAAGGAGAATTAACCAAGGAAGGCAAAGTCCTGAAAAGCTGTATATTGATAATGCTTGTCCTCTCACAATCGGAATGATTCACATTTCACACCCAGTGTACGGACAAACAGGGCCAAAATTGATATGTGGGTGTATAAACAAAGATATATACTACACCAATATTACATGTGTTGCAGAATTGGTTTAACACATTTCAAATATAATTGTAACACGGATATTTGCAATGGTTGATCCATGACAAAAGATTTGAAATATTTTGAAGAGACGCAAAAGGTTACGCCATACAGTGTGCTATGAGGGAAATTTTGCCCAGGCAGCAGTGCTATGGCCTACTCTTGTATCGAATTCCAACTGCCAATGTGTACACTGGACCTTGTTTTTTTTTTCCCATCCAAAC